TAAGGTCCCTTCCAACCCAGACCATTCCATGCTTCTATGAATTACATGTGACGTGCAGTGCTCTTACAAGATCTGCTGAGATAAGATAAGGTATTGCTGCTGTTCTTTTTAATTCTCCTTCTCTGTGCAGCAGAACAATACCAGAGCACATTTAATGGAGAGGTGCTAAAAAAGGGGAGGGGGGGGGGAAACACGATAATAAAACTGAATTTGGATACATACCAAGAAACGTATGAATGTAAATAGGCAATAATGTTTGCATGAAGTGTAAATGAAATGATAAGTGAAATAACAATCTTATCTATGTACAAGAGACAGAAATGCATTAAGTAAGAACTGTAAATATGTTTCTTATTCTAACCAGTAGTTTGTGAACTCATGTAATAGTCTACCAAGCCTGGGTATCTTATCCACCTACCGTGAGTGTCTTGGAACTGGAGTGGAGGTATTTTGCAGTGAATTGTCATAAATACCACCCATTTGTTGCTTTATATTAATAGCCAAGCCTTTCAAACCTAAACAAAAGCAGTATTGCCTTTTCTTTACCATCGGAGCAGAAGATTGGCAGTGATACCTCCTGGTTATCATTTCAGTCTTGCTGCATAGCCTTGGATGAAGTCACTTCAGGTTTTCTTTTTGCAGTGTGTCCTATTGGTAATCTGAAGCACAGAGCTTCAACTTGTCATGTTGCTTTGGTTCACCTAAGTTCAGTAGGAGTAAAACTTGCCTGGTTTTCTTGAAAGATTGGACACTAAATTAGTGTTTAACCAGTGCTTCTGATGTTACATTAAAATGTACTTTAAACAATGAGCTTTTTCTTGTGTCTCTAAAGGATGGAATTCATGTTCTGTTTTTCTCCTCCTTCCCCTTCATTAACTCCATCTAGTGACAACCAGAGTGTCTTTTCTTTTTCCACAGATGTCATCTGGGTGATCCTGAGCGTGGAAGTTGGAGGACTTCTGGGTGTAACACAGCAGCTGTCATCCTTCGAAACAGAGTTCAACACGCAACCACATCGCAAGGTAGAAGGAAACTTTAACCCATTCGCCTCTCCACAGAAGAACAGGCAACCAGATGAAAACAACCTAAAAGACCCTGGGGGTTCCGAGCTAGGCACAATCAGCAAAAACACATGGGGGCCTCCTCCTGACCAAATCGAACAAGATCAGAATGGACTGTCACAAAACTCTGTAAATCTCTCCCCCAGCAGTCACTCGAACAACTTGTCGGTAGTGACATACAGTAAGGTAGGTGCCCTGGGAGAACAGGAGAATGGGTAGGTGATGAGACTGATGTATGTAATAGTTCTTCGTTACAAACTGCAAAGCCCTTCCCTTCTGCTTCTGCCAGACCTGCTAAGGAAGGTTTTGAATTTGACTGACTCTGCCAAGTCCTCATGTTATATTAAATCTTTTTTTGCCTCTGATAGACTCTACTAGATCCACCTTTTTGTTTTTGCTTCGAGTCCTTCTTAAAATTTATATAATCTTGTCTGGGTGCTGTAACTATCAGTGGCTGGAGCCTGCTCCAGTTGCGTGTGCAAATAAGTCAAAATATCTCTCTAGATGTGCTCCTGAGTTTTACATCATTTTGCAAAGAGAAAAAATAACCACCCTCCCCAAACCTGAGATTAACCAGGTAACTTCTTTTAAGATGGTGTGGGGAGACTACAGAGCTCAGTGTTTTGAGCCCAGAAGCTACCTGTCAGGAACAGTCAATCAAAGGACTGTTCCTGTCTGTGTCCTTGTCTTGTTATAATTGTAGGTGACTTTTAAATTATCTTTACTTTGACTCTCTCTCAAAAGCTTGCTTGGTGGATGCTATATGAGTCTGAGTGATATTTTGACTGTTTTTATTTGCTTGTGTGTGAAAAATGACTTGCAGGATTATTTACAATTCAGAATCCACCTGTTGATGCAGCCAGTATGTGTAGGTGTGTACTGTCGTATGTCAAACTAGTTTGATTTTTAAAATCCTTTAAAAATGCTTTACTGTACTTTAAGCAGTCTGTGTAGGACAATAACACTTGGTTGCTGAATGACTTAATAAAGCCCTAATGTTAGTTCACCTACAGCACTTTAGTTCCTAACTGGATGAAATGCCTGTCCTCTACCAGTGGATCATATTTTAGTGACCTACTTTGCACCAGGGCTATGCATTTTTTTACTGATGGCATGTGTGGGATTAACTGTGTGACAGGCTTCCAATCACCCTTCTTGTGTTTTGCACCCCAAACAGAAATTGCTAAAAGCTGTACTGGCTTCTGCTTCAAGGCTCTGCTCACTGAAAGTGAAATGGATGGCTTAGGAAATGGTGTAAAAATAAAGCCTTTTACCTGTCAGCTCAAATCCAACCTGAGTTAGCAGGGACTGAAAGTCTTCATAGCAGTTGCTTGGTGGATAGCAGCGTTCCCTGAAGGGACAGGCCATCCTGTGACTGCAGAGGCCACCTACAGACTGATACAGCTTCTCTGCATACACTTTCTCTCCAGTGCTTCAGGTGGGGAACGCTGCTCTGTGGCTCTGTCCTACATATCCCAGCAAAGATTGGTAACAGCTCCGTGTATCAGCTGATGAAAACCAAGAATCAGTTACTAAGTGCAGCTTTGGTGAGACAGTGGGCTTACTGAAGTCTTTCAGAGCTGAAATACTAGGTTTAATTTAGGTGGGAAAACTCAGTTCCATTTTTGGAGGTCAGCTTTAGGCTGGAGGTGGCTTTTTTTCCTTTGCCTGTTTTCTGAGTGCAGAGGTTGGCAGTTGCTTCGTAGTTGATATGCACTTGGAGGTGGATAGATGTGGAACTGCTTATATATGCACGTCTGAGAAAGTTCCCCTCCTGGATGTGGGGTTTTGGCAGTAACATGGCCTTCAATTTTCACTAGGTCTCTCCCTGTAATATATCTCCTTACCCTTCCTAGTGAGATGAGAGTGCTGTGGGCACCAGGAGGTAAAGCATCCCAACAGACTCTCCTGGCTGAGGGGTAGATGCTTTTGTCTTTTCTAAGAATGTAGGTACAAGAAACTGATACCTGTTGGAGGTGCAGAGGCCACAGCAAAGATCAGCTGTAGTGTGGAAAGGAAAAGAAAAAAGGAGAGTGAAGCACTACCAGAGAGGATGTCACTAAATTGAAGTAAGCTGGTTTAGCTGGTAACCCAAAGCTCCTGAGCAGTACTCCTGAGATGTGAGCCATTATAACCTAACCTCAGATGTAGAATAGGTGGTAGGTGGCCTTTCTCCCCCTCCCCTCACCCCCCCTTTTTTTGTTTCCCAGATGTTTTTTGGGGGGGTTATTTGTTTATTTCTTTTTGTATTTACAGAATATTCTTGGGTGGATTTGAGGTGGATTATCTGAGATAAAAAGTATAAGTTTTGGGTTTTGCTTGCTTGAGAAGGGATAACTTTATGGTCCTTTTTGAAGATGGGGTGGGGTATATGAAAGTTCATTGATACTTGAGGGTTTTTTCTCTACTCCAGTGTTTTTGTTTGTAACATAATAAAAGAAGTTAGCTTTTCCTTTGGAGGCCATTATTAAGGTAGGTCTGAAGATTAGAGTCCTGTTCCAGCCTTGCCCTTCCTGTCCAGGGCAGGAGGCATTCTGCCACAGACCTAATACTCATCTTGGTACAATCCTGCTTCTGTAGTGAACATATTTGAGTAGGTTTGACACCCTAGATACTTGGTGGCATTTCAGTTGCTCCCTGGCTGGGGTCTGGCACCATTGCCTGCTGCCTCCTGCAAGCTGGGAAAGAATATACTTCTTTTTCTTTCTTTCTTTTCCAAAGAAGGGATAATGTGCAAGCAGTAACCCCATAATGTGCCAGCAGTATCCCAGCTGGGGGTACCACTTCAGTGGAGAAGGTCTTATTGGAAGTGATGTAAGAAGTATTAAACCTGCTGAGCAGATGGTGTTCCAGTACCTGTTAGGAAAAGCAGTATCTGACCCATCTTCCCCACTTCCTTGGGGACTTCACCTGTTCTCTGCTGTTTGAGAGGGGGAAAGAAAACTACATTTGACGCTGTTGTCCCGTGATTGAATATTGTTGTGAAAGGCTTTATTTCAAGTTCTTGGAGCAGACAAAGTGTCCCGTGGGTTGGTTCTGTAGTTGCATGTTGGGATTCCTGGATTCTGGTGGTCTTTGGCAGGACCTCCAGTGGTTTTGTCTGCTTTCATGTACCCGGAGAATGGAGTGAGTCCCTAGTCATGTTTGAGACACCACCTGGTGAGATACAGTAGTGGGAATGGGTAAGGTCTAGCTAAGGTGTTCAGAAGGGACTATGTCCCATACTTAGAAGTAATATAAGTGCTTAAATATTTCTCAGATCACTGTGGAGGCTTCTCCCTGGCAAGAAAGAGATCATGCAGTACCCCAATCATGCAGTTGCATGAGACCATGAGATCTTTGAGCTAAAACTAGCAGTTTCTGGCATCTGCAGCTGTAAAACGTACCAGAAGTTGCCAGACTTCGCCTGTGTCAGTTCTCCCTCTGGTGCAACTGAGCAGGTGTGGCTTGTCCTTTAGAATTCCCCACTGGAGTCAGGATCTTAGTAACAGTGACATGCCATCTGCTGCTGGATTAGACAAGTATATCAACGTTTCACACATGGGAACATTCAAAATGCTTTCATCCAGCAGCGTGTAGAGCCCATGGCTTGTGTGCTCACCTAGGAGGAAAAAAAACCCACACAGAACACACAAACCAAACCAAGAATTGAATTCCCTGTAAGCAGATAAGATGAAACCTGTGATGTAGTTGAAATAAACCGAGTGTGATCTTTATTCCTGCTCTAGTGCACACCTTCCCTGGGCCCACTAAGCTTACCTTATCAAATCAACTGCTGTAAGGTGGTAGATCAGGTTCTGTGTTCCCGGCATTGCTTTGAGCATGTTGTCATCTCTAGTCCCAGTGGAATTTTTGCATGTTCTTAGAATTAAAGATGTGCTTAAGTGCAGGATAGGATGCTTATCTCAGGGTAGGGATGAGCTGTGTTAGAGTCCAGATATACCCATGCATGGGTATTTTATTCTCCTTTTTGGCAATCGGGTTCTCTCTGTATTCTCGAGAGAGATGAGGCGACTATAGCTTCTATTTACTCGCTCCTGTCTCATAGCAACACTGTTGAGGTCACTGCTGCTCTCTTGTGACAGTCTTTTACATTAAAAGTGCAAGATGCAGTCTTACAGTGCCTGGGGAATTAGAGTTAAATTTCTTAACTAAAGAAAGAAACGTACAGGTTTAAATGCCTAAAAAGGCCTGAGGTGGATAGCCATATACTGACATTCGGATTGTACTGCGTCACGTGTATATTAAAAACATATATATAAATATATATATATA